ATTCAGAGATTAAGTAATAGGACAAAACTTTTCGACGGTTATAAACGAAAAATCACGATTTAACGGTTATTTCAACTCTGATTTTGATGATTTTTTACAGCTACACTCCTTGACCCTATATGAATACAATGACTGCATTCAATCGTCAATTTTAAATATTTACACTAGTGGATACCACAAAATCTTATGTTATATTTAACAAAAGTATAAATAAACTCTTAATTGTTAGTGAATATATTGTTTTAATGGCATATGTATTCTATGAAACCAGTTTCGACGATCCAACCGTCAAACTTGTTTGTTTATACTTTGAGATCGTATACCCCAAAAATCGGAAAAAATAAACATTCAGAGATCAAGTAATAGGACAAAACTTTTCGACGGTTATAAACGAAAAATCACGATTTAACGGTTATTTCAATTTCGATTTTGATGATTTTTTACAGCTACATTCCTTGACCCTATATGAATACAATGAACCAATTCGATCGTCAATTTAAAATATATATTTTCTAACAAAAACCCAATCCGAACTACAATAATATATTTTTCTAACAAAATAATTTTATTTATTTTATTTATTTTTGTATAGACTTTGCGAGACGAAGATTATTTTTTCGTCGCGCAAAGTCATCCAAAAATTTTGAATTTTTTTTTAAATTTTAGTAAAGACTTTGCGAGACGAAGATTATTATTTCGTCGTGCAAAGGCATCCAAAAATTTTTAAAAATAAATTTTTATTTATTTATTTTTGTAAATACTTTGCGAGACGAATCACTATTCGTCGCGCAAAAATCTGTGCACCGAATTCTAGTATTCGTCGCGCAAAGTTACTTTTCGCGACGATTCTTTTTTGTCGCGCAAAGTGACTTTGTGCGACGATTTGTTTTTCGTTGCGCAAAATTGAGTCGCGTAAGACTTTGAGCGACGATGATTAATATTTGTCGCGGAAAGTGACTTTGCGCGACGAATTTTGTTTGGTCGCGCAAGGGTTTTTTTTTAGTAGTGATTAAATCATATAAACCACGCTAGTTCATAGCTCCATAAACTAATTTTCAATAAGTTTTAACATAAACCAAATAGGGTTTAACATCATAGTGGATTGAACATCTAAGGCTTTTTACCTAGATTGACCTTAGTTCCTTCATGCATTCATATCATACATGAAAAATTGTTTTATGTAAAAATATTGACTAAGTACGAAAATTGGGTTTTCGGAATAATCATTTTCTGAAGATAATTTTTGGCGGCTTTTATTCCTCACACATCAAATAAGAAAACTTGATTTTATGGGATTTTAGTATGAAGTATATATTGACTTAATGAGCCATCATTTTTAGCCTAAATTGTATTTTACACTAAAACCGATTTTTCATATTTTGATTTGGTGGGAATTTGATTTTCTAGTATTTTTATTTGAATCCAAATGGGGGGTACATCCTTAATTATTTACATTGTAAACTTAAGTAAATGGAGTAATATAAAAATAAATAAAAGTAAAATGACAAAGACATTTACTTAAATGTTGAAAGTGGAAATAAGGTAATCAGTACACCGCCACTGTAGCCCTTAGTGTGGTTCCGCCCCTAAACTGTAAGTGTTACCATTGAGTCAGAAGGGTCATATGACTCTCCTAGGCCTTAATTGGCTCCGCCCTTGCATGGTCTACCCATTAACATGCCAACCAAGTTTTAAATTATCAAAATTTTAGTGCTTTCTTTAAGCACCGTGATTATTGATTTTGTAAAATATAATTGAATATAGAAACGGTTTGCGATTTGTCTAAATTTTTTAAGCACCATGATCAACAATCTAAACCATCTATTTTTTAAGTCTACATTCATAGATCATCTTTTCAAAAAAT